GGAGGCAGCAGGGGAGAAGAGGGCCTTGGTGGCCCCCAGGCTAGCAAGACCACTAATAGGGTTCCCGTAGACCCACACAGGAGCGAGGAGTCACAACAACTGAAAAAAAGGAGCCACTCAGAGGCCGGTAAGTCCTCACAAGGGACTGGAGCACACCCGTCCCATGGGAAGTGTTTGGAGCATGGGTATTAGGGGAAACGGGCCCACGGGGGGAACACTGGGATACAGCAAGGACAGCTGATCTGCCCCCTAATCAGTGCAGGACCACTCAGTGCAGACTGGTCAGGAGTATAGAACTGCACGGGGTACAGTCTACTGAAAAGACTCAGGCCCAGACCAGAGTTTCTACACAACCCAGGTGTACCAGATCTCATGAGAGCCGGAAGTACCTATAAGGTTCAACCATTAAATCTGAGCTGTACAAAAAGCCTTCCCCGGGGAATCAGCAGCAATATAGCTCAACCACAGAGCTCAAGTACAGGTCCCCACAGGAACATACCCCAATTTAGAAGTAAGCAAAGGACAACAAATTAGTTCCAGCGCAGAATTCAAGTAGTGGGAATAGCAACTAATTCAACACAGAACTGAAAGAAAAAAAAAGTACCCACAACCAAAGACAAAGTTTCATATTGACTAGTGAGGGTCTCATTTCAACAAAGAGCACCTATAATACCTAGAAGGAATGGAGGTCTCCTGGACTACCAAGCTAGAAAGGGAGGAGGGCCAGGGGCCTCAGCCATGCCCCCTGACATCTGCAACCACTCCCAAGGGTGGGGACCGAGGGTCTTGGCCACACCCCCCCCAACACACACAACCACCCCAACAATGATCACTGAGCTGCCGCAAGAAGAACCCTGGGCTCTCCTGAGGCAGAGGGTGGAGGGCCAGGGGCCTTGGCTATGCCACCTGACACACACAACTAGCCCAGTGACGACCACTGAGCCTCTGCAGGAAGCACCCCGGGCTCTCCCAAGCTGGGGTTGTGGGGGGCTGGGAGCCTCAGTCATGCCCCTTCAGCACCCACAAGCAGCCCAGCAATGACCACTGAGCCACCACAGGAAGCACCCCAGGCTCTCTTGAGCTGGGGTGGTGAGGGGCCAAGGGCCTCGGCCACAACACCCTGACATTTGCAACCAGCCTAGTGATGACTACCAAGCTGCAGCAAGAAGGGCCCCAGGTTCCGGAGCTGGGGTGGTGGGGGCGAGGGCTTCTGCTGTACCCCTGACATCTGCACCCAGCCTGGCAAGGACCAAACCACCACTAAAAGACCTCTGGTCTCCCCTGTGGGAATGAGGGGAGTGCCATGGGCCTCAATCCTGCCCCTTCTCCTTCCTTCTTCCATCCCATTTCCTTCCCCTTTCTCCTCTCCCCCTCCCTCCCACCTGTTCTGCAACATCATAGAATGTAAAAAAATGATATTATAAAACATAATTTGGTAAAAAAACAAAACAAAAAAAAACACCTTAAAGCTTACATGCGACAAAAACAACCAACCAACCAAACTCAACAAACTCGGATAAAGTACATGCAACTCATAAAAAAAAAAAACACCAACAATTGAAATGTAGGCAAAGGAC